GGTGCTCTTTTGAAATGCCAGAAATGTTTTCAAAGACATTAAACAGTGCTGGACCCTTCCTTGCTTCTCGCTTTCCACTTGGACATTAGATCATCATTTTAGGGGTTACAGTAACAATAAAGATGATAATAGTAATAATGATCTGTATTTGTGTAGGACCTTATGTTTTATTTCATAGCCATTACATTTAATTCCTCAGAACATCATTGCCTCCATCTTGGCAGATGAAGGAAGTGGGACACAGAGAGGTGAGGTTACTTGCCCAAGGGCTCACAGTGGAGTAGCAGGTAGAGGCAGGCTGGAACCCGGGAGTCTCTTGATACCTAGTGTGGGGCACTTTCATAGAAGTGGTGGGGAGATGACCTCAGAGGGTCTGGGTCTAGGGTCCCAATCTGAGTCTGGACGGAAGGAGCTAGAAGGCCTGGGTGCTGTAAGTAGGGCCCTCACCTGGGGGGATGAACAGTCCCATCTGACTTTCTCAGCTTCCACCACAGGCTCCTTGATCATTTCCTCTTGAGACCCGCATTTGGCTAAAGGCAGCTAGAACCCACTCCCAGCTGCCCCAGGTTTGTCCATGCTTCTAGGGAAGGAATCTTAGAGCAGAGAACCTCAGTGCCGCGTGGTTCTGTGGCATTGAGTTCTGAGAGATGCTGAGTGGGAGGCACCCCCACGGCCCCCAGAGGCTGGAGGAGGCCCCTGACCACTTGTGTCTATGTTTGCCACCTTTCTGTGAGCACAGTGTATGAGCTTCCTCCTCCCTCTTCTGCCTTCTCATCGTTCCCCTTTTTCCCCTCCTCCTGTGGGTCCCTGTGTGGGTCTGGAACCCCACATCGTAGAAGCTATGTGTGAGCATTTGGCTGGCTTGGTCGGAAAGGCAGTTTCAGACTCAGTTCTGTGACCATGTCAAGATCACTGTGGTTCATAAGAAAGTTGTTACAAATAATAGTAAGGACACTGCCTCAAAACAACTAGACGTTTGTTGTCTCTGTTCTAGAGGCTAGAAGTCCAAGACCAAGGTGTGAGCAGGACCTGCTCCTTCTGAAGGCTCTGGGGTAGACGCCTTCCTTGAGTCTTGAAGTCCCCAGTGGGGGCTGGTCACCCTTGGCACCACTTTTGTCTCTGCCTCTGTTGTCACCTGGCGTTCTCCCTGTGTGTCTGCAGCTTCACGTGGCTGCCTTCGCCTCTCGTAGGGACACCAGTCCAATTGAATTAGGGAACCATCCTAATGACCTCTTGTCACATCTCCTAATAAGGACATTCACGGGTCCTGGAGGTTAGGACCTCATAATATATTTTTGGGGAACACAAATTCAACCCGTAACAGGCAGCTTTGGCGTCTAGGAGGTGAGAACGGGGATGGAGCAGTGTGTCCCATCCCCTCCCACAGGTGCCATTCGAAGCCATCGCTATACCAGGGCGGGGTAGGTTTGTGACCAAGGGCCCCTGTGTACTCTGAGTTCTGCTCTCTTTGAGGGCCACAGTCTTGCCTTCTGTCCATGCTGGCATCCCATCCAGAGTCTTGGACAGAGCCCTAGAACAGGCACGAAACGGCTAGCTACTGGTGCTCATTCCTGCTGGCACCTTCCAGGCTCCAGACACCATTCAGGGAATCCTTCTGGCTGGAAAACACCTCATGCCTTCACTGAATTGTCCTCACTGCTCCCTGGAGAGTGGTCCCAGGAGCTTATGCCAGCCTCCAGGGGAAACAGGCTGGTGCAGGGAAGCGGGGTGAGCCCAGGAGGGGTTTAATGCTGTGGCCCTTTGCCTGAGACTCAGGGACCTTGGGTAATGACCACATCTGCTTTGGGCCCATGGGAGTGGACATCTTGCACCTTACGGGGGGGAGAAGCAGACAGCATGACTCTGTAAATGAGTGTCCCTAGACCAGGGATGGTAAAAACCTGGCAACATTGCCCTCCTCTAGGACTGGTGTCCCTGGAGAGCCAGGACTGCAGTTAGGCAAGTGTGCCACAGCCTCCTCCTGTAGACTTTGGGCAGGGGGCATGCCTCCTGCCCCCTCCCTGCATGCTTCTTTCTTCTTGGCTCCCAGCCCCTGGGGGGTGAGGGGCTGCCCTCATCCATCCTCACCTCAGGGGACCTGAGGCTGGTGCCCTGGTCCCTGCTCATCCTTTCTCCCCTCCTTTCCCCCATCCTGGCTCTTCAGGGGCTGGGTGCTTTGAGGAGGAGCCGTAGCTGCATGGGAGACGGCGTTGTGGCTGGAGAGGGCAAGCCTGTGCCAGGATCCAGCTCGGTGGGGTCCACGGGCAGGTGGGGGCCAGAGAAGCTGGGCCGGACCCCGCAGTGGCCCAAGGCCAGAAACGGAAGGGGAATTGGTGGCTCCCGACTAAGAGGTAGAAGGAGGCTCGTTCATTCCTTTGCGTGTGAGTGTGTGCACATCTACACACACTGAGTCGTGGCTCTGCTGGTTCTTGTGCCAGTAATAGTCTGGATCTGCAGGGGGGCACCTTCCTTCTCCTCCACCCACACCCTCAGAGTGGGACCTAGGTCCAGAAAGACATGAAGAAAAAGATGGAGGATCAGAAAGGGGGTCTGATCAGAAAGGCAGGTCGAGGTTAATGGGGGTCATATGGATCCTGTACGAAAGCAGATGTTCACGCAGCCTCCTTACCTGGTTGCCTAGAGGACAATGAGGCATGGCCTGCTGCAGGGCTAGGCGAGAGTCATGTCGGGGTAGATAGGCCTGGCAGTACCTGGCCTGGTTTTCTTTCAGGTTGGGCTGCCCTGTGGGCTAAGGGGTTGTAAACCCAGCCTGGGGTGGTGCCTGTCTCTCGTGCAAGGGCTTCTTCTGGAAATGCAGAGGGCGGGGCTCTGTAGGGAGGGTGGGTTTCTCTCATGAAGGAAGCCTGGGGTTGGGGCTGTCCTCCCTGTTGGCAAGATGTGGGCTGGAAAGTACAGAAGCATTTACTTGAGGTGACAGTGGGGGTCCTTTGGACATCAAGGTGGGACCCAGGTATCAGACTGACTCCGCTTCAGGTTGGCGCTCTGGAAAAGGAAACAGTTGCAAAGTTGGAAGTCTTGGTGGCTTAGCCTGGTCTTGGGCTCTTAACACTGATACCCTAGCCTCTCCCTGCTGTCCCAGGAGACAGCCAGGGCACGTCCAGGACTCCAGAGTGCCTTGTCTGGGGCTCCCCCAGGTACTGTCCAGCTGGCCTTGTTGCATAACCAGTGCTCCAGAGCCTTATCTCCCTGCCAACATCCTGCCTGGTGATTGGACTGGAAACTAGCGCTCCTTGGTCACCAGCAAGGGCCAGATGGAAAGTGGGGAGTATGTGAGAGCAGTGAACTTGTTGCTGTCATGTTGTCATGGTGACACAACTCTGTTGAGCTGCTTCTCCATGGTCCTAGCCCACATGGACTAAAGTAAGTTCTACCTGCAGCTCACACAGCAGGCAGCCCCATCCTCCCAAGTTCAGCTCTCTGGCCATGGTGTGTGTGTGTGTGTACGCGTGCGTGCACACAGTCATAGGGGCAAAGGGGACATTTATACTCCTGTTCTGTCTCTCTTTCTTTGGTCCTGAACTCAAATGTATTTTGAATACATCTATCAAATGTATAGCTGTGTTTTATTAACCACTGTAATTTTGGCAAATGAAAATACTTGAAGATAAACAGTAACTGCTACAGTTTCAGGGCCTAATTATTTTCTACTATGTCATTGCGGCAAAACGGCTACGTTTATTTTGATGCCTTTCAGTGTTTGTCCGTGTGTCTGAGGCGTGTAGGTGTTGTGGGTCTTACATGTCTTTAGAACGGCAGTTCTCAAACTGCAGTGTACATCAGAGGGATTGTAAACCCAGATTCCCAGGCCCTATTGCTGGAGACCTTGGTGTGCACCTGAGAATTTGCATTTCTCACAGGTTCCCAGGTGATGCTGATGTGGCTGGTGCAGGGACCGCACAGGGAATAGCCCCAGGGGGCTCAGTCGGTTAATCCTCCTACTCTTGATTTCGGCTCGGGTCATGATCTCAGGGTTGTGAGATCGAGCCCCAGGTCTGGCTCTGCACTCAGCAGGGAGTCTGCTTGAGATTCTCTCTCCCTCTTCCTTGGCCCCTCCCCCTGCTCACACTTGTGCACGTATGTGTGCTCTCTCTCTCTCTCAAATAAATAAATAAATAAATAATAAAATAGGGGCACCTGGGTATCTCAGTTGGTTGGGAATCTGTCTTCAGCTCGGGTCATAATCCCAGGGTCCTAGTATCAAACCCCGCATTGGGCTTCCTGCTCAGCAGGGAGTCTGCTTCTCCCTCTGCCTCCCTGTTTCGTTCTCTTTCTCTCTCCCAAATTAATAACTAAAATCTTTTTTTTTTTTAAAGATTTTGTTTATTTATTTGTCAGAGAGAGAGAGAGAGAGAGCAAGCACAGGCAGACAGAGTGGCAGGCAGAGGCAGAGGAAGAAGCAGGCTCCCTGCCGAGCAAGGAGTCCAATGCGGGACTCGATCCCAGGACGCTGGGATCATGACCTGAGCCGAAGGCAGCTGCTTAACCAACTGAGCCACCCAGGCGTCCCAATAACTAAAATCTTAAAAAAATAAAATGAAAGGTATTTTCTGTCTACACTGGACTGTGCTAGTTTTTTTTTTTTTTTTTAAAGGTTTTATTTATTTGAGAGAGAGAGAGAGCGTGCGAGTGCACCAGCAGGGGATGGGGCAGAGGGAGAGGGGGAAGCAGACTCTCTGCTGAGCAGGGATCCCCACATGGGACTCCATCCCAGGACCCTGGGATCATGACCTGAGCTGAAGGCAGACACTTAACCTGCTGAGCCGCCCAGGCGCCCCTGGACTGTGTTAGGTTTTAAAACAAAACAAAACAAAACAAAACAAAACAGAGTTTACCATATTCCAGTAGAGAATGCACCCAAGTCTAGTTTTGCACGGTGTGTATTAGACTGGGTCCCCATGCCTGGCTCCTGTTGGCAGAGAGAAGGAATGGCTCAGGTGGGCCCTCACTCACCTCTTCTGTGTTCTGTGGCCTCTTCACAGGAAGCAGGAGCTGGCCAACAGCTCGGATGTGACCTTCCCAGACCGGCCGCTGTCCCCTCCTCTGACAGCACCTCCCACCATGAAGGTAAGAGGCTTAGTTAGAGTTGGTAAGTGGGGAGGGAAGTAGCTGTTCCTTTGGTCCAGGCCCAGCTGATGCCGTCCAGTGGGTGCCATGGAGTGCCCTGACAACCTCAGGAGGCAGTGTCCACCTGAGCTCACCAAGGCGGGAGGAACTATGACTGAGACTTGGGGGTGTCAGGGGCTGAAGGAGGCCTTGGGGAGCTGTGGGGTCCAGGCAGGAATGAGTGCAGCCTGGTGTCTTCACTTGATCTTAGCCAAAAGGCCTAGAAGGAATTGCAGCCTGGTGTCTTAGGGGGCTACTGCCCAGGAGGGCTGCCTGGTGGTGGGGCTATGGAAGGCGGGTCTGTGGGGTGGCCCCTTCCTAGGACTTGGGTGGCACTTGCATGTGGTCTACCTGCCTCTGACTGGCCCTCCTGGGGTGGCCCTGTCACCCCAGTCCCTGTGGGAGAGTGGCTCTGGAGCTTCTGGGGGTCAATAATTCTTTCCTATTAGTACTTTATTCACAAGTCTCCTTCCTGGGAGACCACCTCCCAGAACCCCGGCCCTGACTGCTCATTCCTGGAGAGGAGCTGAGGCATTGTACCCTCCCCGCACCATGCCCGTCTCCCTTCAGCTCTTAGTCCCCCTGACAGGATGGTCACAGGGAGGACTTTGGCTCAGCCAGTATTCCCACCTAAGCAGCAGTGCATGATGGTCTTTCCCACCCTCCCTCCTTCTCACAGTTGGCCAGGTGAGGACTAGCTCTGAACAAGTCCGAGGATTTGCTTCCTGAGTCATCTGAGGGAACAACTAGTCTGCCTTCCATCTTTGTCCTAGAGCTTTGCTGTGAGATGACTCATAGGGAAATAATTACGCCTCTGTCTCCTCTTGGTCTTTGTTGTATCCCTGCTCCCCTAACCTGATCTGTTGGAAAATGACCCCCCCCCCAAAGGAAGTAGATAAAAGCCTCCTTTCCGTTATCACCCCATACTGAATGCCCACCACGTGGAGAGCTGTGTGATATGCATCAAGGGGGAATGTCATAGAATGACAGCCAGAGCCTGCCCTGGTTGGATTAGGAGTTCAGGAGTTGGTGGGGTACAGGGCTGACTGCGGACAGCTCTGCCTTCTTCCTGGTGGGGTACCCATGGGCACTGAAAGGCAGAGTACCTCCATTAGCCTAATCCCAGTGCAGGCATCCGAGCCAAGTGCTGGGGGCTTTGTTTGCCCAGGGTGACGCTGACAAACACGTCACCATTCTCAGTTTCAGCCCCTTGGTCTGCAAAGTTGGTTGTCAGATGCTTGTCACTGTGCTTCTGGGTGGCGGAGGTTTGCAGGAAGAAACCTGGAAGTTTCCGAGGAAGAGTCACTGAGTTCTCTTGGCAGACTTCCCTTACTCACATGCTCATTTAATTCATTCAACACCCAGTACTTGCTTGAATGTTGTATTAGTCAGGACTCTTGGTTACAAGTGATGGAAACATAACTCACTTTGGCTTACACATAAAACAGAATTTATTGCTTTGTGATGGCAAATATGGACTCTAGGCATGGCTGCATCTATGAGATTTGCCTCATTCCATCTGTCTTCTGTGTTGGTTTTGTTCTTTGTTAAGCTCTGTCTCCGTGGTGGCAAGATGGTGACAGTAGCTCCTACCTGCTGAGTAACTTCAGTGGAAAGAAGAGTCTCTTTCCTATGGTACTTCTAGCAAAAGTCCCAGGGAGGAAGCTGGAGGGCCTGGTGTAGGTCACCTGTCCAGTTGTGAAGCAATCATTGCAGCCAGAGGGGTGGGGGCTCTGATTGGCCAGACCTGGGTCTCACGACCTGCTATCTAAGCTCAGAGAACTGAGAGTGGGAGAGGGGTGATTTTTCAAAGGAACATTGAAGGGTCATTAGAAGAAGATGGGGGGATGGAGGCAGGGTGGACAAGACCAAACAGCTTTCTACCACAGGTGCTTGCCGTGTGCCAGGCCCAGTGAACAAGGCGTCATGGTCCCTGCCCTTCTGGAGCTTGTCATCTAGTTGGGGAAGGGGAGGTGAAAGTTGAAAAACTAATTTGAAGATGAAGGATGGACAGTTAGGTGTGATGAACGTTCCAAAGGAGAAGTGGAGCCTAGCTCAGGGGCTATATAAGGGGTGTGCGTGTGTGTGTGTGTGTGTGTGTGTGTTTGTGTGTGTGTGTGTGTGAATCGAGCGGAACCTTGGAGAGGGTCAGGCAGGACTTCTTAGGAAATGACGTGGAAGCTGAGCCCTGGGAGTTGAGTAGGACTTTGTTTGGCAAAGGTGCTGTCAGGGTGGAGGAGACTGTTCTAGATGCTTGCTGCTCCATGCGAGGCCAAGGGACCAGCAGGGCCTGCATCATGTGGGAGCACCTCAGAAGTGCAGAATCTCGGGATGGGTACACAGATGTGCGCTGTAGGCTCCGTGAGCCACCCCGGAGCAGGAGAGAGATGGCTGCGTGGGCAGAATGGGAAACCGGAAGGGCCAGAGCACCCACAGTTAGGGACAAAGAGGAAGACCTGTAGAAGTTTTCTTTTATTTTTTATTTTTAAAAAATTTAATCTGAGGACATTTTTTTATGTGGAAGTATAGTTGACACAATGTTGCGTGAGTTTCTGGTGTACAACATAGTGATCCGACAAGTGTGCACATTAGGCTCTGCTCACCACAAGTGTGGCTCCCATCTGTCCCCACACAATGCTGTCATAGCACCATTGACTGTATTCCTGACGCTGGGCCTTTCATCCCCATGACTTAGTCATTCCAGAACTGGAAGCTCGTGCCTCCTACTCCCCTTCACCCACTCTGCCCATCCCTTCCACCTAGTCCCTTAGAAGTTTTGTTAAAGATTTTGGGCTTTATCCTGACTAAGGACATTGATGTCATTGTAGATTTTTGTCTGAGCAGTAGCCAGAGGATGGGACTTTCAGAAAATCACCCCGGCTCTTGGGTGGAGAGTTTGTAGGAGAAGCAGAGGGAAGTGTGGGAGGGGTTGGGAGGGCACTGAGGGAGTCTAGTGCAGGGGTGGGGAGGAGACGATGGTGGCCTGACTCTGAGGGTTCTGTGGGGTTGTTTGGAAGTGGTCAGATCTCTGATTTCCCAGGAGGTAGATTAATGAGATAGGAGGATTTGGGGAGAGAGAGGAGGCAAGAGTGACCCCGGGTTTGGAACAACTGGTAAATGGTGAAGCTGCTTTCTGAGATGGGGGACCTCCGAGTGAGGATGAGGGCTGAAGGTGTAAGTGCTGCATTGCCCATGTTTGAGACACAAATGCTTAGTGTTTGGGGCCCAGACTCAGAAGAGGGTCTGGACTGGAGGCAGTAATCTGGAGCCTTTCTTCTAAGGAGGACATTAAAGCTTGGGGCGGAGGGCTGGGCCGGGGCCAGTAAGTGCTCCAGGGAGAGTGTGGAGTGAGAAGAGGAGAGATTCCTGGTGTGGCCCCCTGGGGGACTCTCCCAGCAAAAGCTAATGTGGAGAAAGCTGGAGACTGGGTGGGAGGAGCGTTCCACGAAGGAAGGATGGACAGCTGTGTCAGCGGGACAGAGAGGCCAAGTATGGGGGAGCACGTGTGGCCTGGCCGTGACTTGGGACAGTTCTGGGGAGGGAGGTGTGGACAGCAGACAGGGGTGGGCTGAGGAGTGAGTGGAAATGTTGGAAGAAGGGAGCCACGAGGGTGCATGGATACAAGAGGGAGGGGTGCTGATCAGGAATCCGGAGCATAAGTAAGAGATTGTTAGTTAGTATAGTGATTCATTCAAAACATTTATGACTCGCCTTGGGTGCCCAAGCCTACTCTGTTCTGGCCGGTACAGGGCCTGACAGGTTGTTGGGGGTAAGGCTGGCCTGACTGGAACTCCAGGCAGGCTCCGAGCAGAGCGCTAACCTATCGGGGTGGCTTTCCTGTCCAAAGCCTCAAGGCCAAGGTCAGAGCTGAGGACTCAGAGGAAGATATGACGGGTCACCCCGGAGGCTCACACTGGGGTTGGGACCCTTCTGTGGTTGGGGTTGGGGGTCAGTGTGTGTGGGTGTGGGTGTACTTGGACTTAGGGGTCTCTTGATGACTGTTATGTGGGCTTGTTCTGTGGCAAAGACTTAGCCTGGGGCCATGGTTAAGAGGCTATCTGTCGCTAGCCTATTTTTTTGTCCTTTGGCAAAGCATACTGACTCATACAGTTAAAACCACAGGCCTCCTGCCAGCCCGCTCATCACAGAGGGAGCGTCCCTTTTGTGATTGTACTTCCCAAGCCCTGTTGCTGGCCATTCGACACCACCCTGCACTGAGCTCCTCAAGGGCAGCGACTCTCCCGTTCTCTGCTGGTGAACGTTTTTGGCACACGGACTGTCTGGGACATCCGGGTGGGAGGAACCTGTGACTGGTCTTCTACTTCTCTGGTTTTGCTTGAATCTCATATCCTGGCAGACAGACCCGCTGTCTCCAGGTAATACTTTTCTGAATTAAGCCCCCAGCCTTGTGATAAGATGCAGACTAAAACTCCCCCTTTCCTCATCTGTCGTGGGGGAGTTTCTACCTGCGTGGACCTGGGCTTCCACTGGCGATGTCGGGCTCAGGCCTCTGCTTTGCCAAGCTCCCGAGCTCCCCAGGTTATTAGTGCACACCGATGTCTGAGACATCCAGGGTAGAAGCTAGCCTCTCTCCAGGGTCTCTGGCCTTGGGGGTTCTGCAACATGGCCCTGCTGTACCCCCAGCATCTGGGCAGTGGGGGCAGTGCAGGCTTGGGGCAGCGCTGGCAGGCCTCCCCCTTGGATGGATTAACTTGGGAGTCATAGAATGTCAGGGAGGGATGAGTAATTTCTTTTATAGATAGATTGGATGGGAAGTTAGACTCATCTAAGGTCCTCCTGAAGATAGTGGTGCTCCCCCTTCGGTCAATACAATAAGTTAAATTCTTAAACCCAACCAGTTTTGGTAAAGTGCTCCTCCCATCCCACCTCTCACAGCCAGGACAGCCCCTCCTCTGGTTGCTTCTCCTACCAGAAAGGGACTGTGGGAGCTGAGGGAGCCT